ACCTATGTTAATATAAATTTTCTTGTATTACCGATTGGCCTATTTTCTTGTTACCTATATTATTAATTTATTGTAGGTACAAATGAGATAAAAACCACATAAGTATAAAATAAAAGGGCTAAGTTTCAGAATATTTACAGACACGAAAATATGTTTTTTTTTATAAAATTTAAGCAATTTTGTAGTATATATTCGAGAACAATTGAAGAGTGGAAATACCAAGGGGGGTAAGTGCCAAAATTATTTTTTCGAGATAAATGAGAAAAACACAGTAAAACTGAAAATAATAAATTTTTAAAATATATCTTTTATAAAATACCTATAATATACATGAAAAATGGACGCTTTCGCTAGGCACTTACAACGTTTGTTAGGACATGCAGTATGGTATTTATTACGTTTCTAATGCAATAACTTAATATTGAAAAATTTGGGACTTATAGTTACTTGATATATTGTAGCATTTTTATTTTCCAAATGCTACTTTGTTTTATTATAGACGGTATTTTATTATTGTATCGATATTCTTTTTACATTTCTACAACACTTAAATTTCGGAACGCTCTCTATCGAAAAGTGTATCGACAAGACGGGAAACGTCAAAATCGCCACCTCGGATTTGGCCGTTACCGAGGTCACTGTGCCATTTTGAGAATTAAATTTATTTGGCTGGTATTTTTCACAATATGGGAAAATATTGTGATTTTGTTATCCTATAGATGGTTGAAGGTCCCATATAGCTTTTGATTATTGAGATTTTAGTGGATCTATAGTTTTGGTAAGATTTTCTTTGACACTCCATTCGGTAGAAAAAACATGCGCATGCCTTTCTTTTAGATTCCAGTTTTTCGATGAGAAGTGTCCAGCCCTTATTTGAGAAGAAATGTTAAATAATTATTGATTGTGTGCCTTCACAATGAGGTAAATTAATACCTTCGTAAATTTTTCGAGTTTTTTTAAATGTAAGGTTAACTTATACCGTGCATTTCTTTTTAGGTTTTCCTACGTATTTTTCTCAGCATTTTTCCACGTATTTTTCTTCAAGTATTTCTAGACATTTTTCTAGACGTTTTTCTGCAAGTTGTTCTGCATATTTTTCTAGAAGTTTGTGCCAAGTTTTTCCACAAGTTTTTCTTCGAGTTTTTCAATCACCGAGGTGATCAGCATCGGTTAGATTTCAGCCCTGCACCCCTCTGAGGAAGAGTTGGATGCTGTGATCTGTGATGTTTTTTATCATTAGGAAGATCCTTTTTTAGTATAATTTGGTATACAAGGCCAGTATATTTTTTATACTAAACCAAAATTTTATTAATTTGATTTTAAATAATCATTAGTGTGTTAAGAAATTAACTATTCTTAGCATTTTACATTTAACTGGTTAAGTACTTGCCTTCAGCATTACTTTAACCCTTAATTTATAAAATTTAACATTCTGTTACATTTTATATATTTTTTTAACCCTTAAATATTTGCCTTCAGCAATGCTTAAATTTCATTTGTATTTGATTATTAAAATAATCATGTTATATTAATTGATTATTCGGATTTAACATCTATTTATATTAACCTTTTATTTCATTACGATCTTTGACCTGTAATATTTTGACTTAAATTTTCAATAAAAGGAAAGTTTTTGTCACAATATTTACTTGAGTTCTAGTTAATCTGTTAGTTTTAAGGTTGCCTCTGTAGGAGTTCTTGGGAGATGGACTGCCAACTGTCTATCTTTTTGGAGGTCTTCCCGGCTGTCTTTTTCCCATGGGTTTCCCTTCAAGAGCTATGCGTGGTAGCCTGTTTTCTTCCATGCGTTTTACGTGTGCGATCCATTGTCTTTTTTTTTTTCCTACCCTATCTCACTATGTCCTGTATTCCACATTGTTGTCTGATATTTGTGTTTCTAATTCTGTCGCTTCTAGTCTTCCCCATTATGGTTCTTAGGTTCTTCATTTCAGCGACTCTTAAGATGCTTCTGGTCTTGCTTGTTTCCTCTCGGATTTCTATGCCATATGTCATTATTGGTCTGATGCAGGTCTTATAAATTTTAATTTTGCTGTCTGTTCGCATGAAGAGGTTTGTCCAGTCTATTTGCCTCATACATCCTGACATGGCCGTTGCTCTGTTTATCTGGCTTCTCAGATCTTTCTCTGGATCATTGTAGTACGACATATCTATTCCTAGGTATCTGAACTGTGATACTTGCTCAATAATTTTGTTTTCTACTACCAGTTTGCATCTTACCGGCTTTTTAGAAAAAGTCAAGCATTTAGTATTTTCTGTAGAGATAATCATAATCAGTATAGGTAATGGTATTGAGTGTTTTTTTATCTGCTGCCTAACAATTTAAAAAGAAATGCTGCTGTCTCGGCTGCTATCAAAAATTTATCGTAAAAATCGAGGGGTGTCTCACTCGGGTAAAAAATGTACACGTACTGCCAAAATATCCTTCCACTGCTAAGCGACTACCAATGACTATGAAGAAGACTGCCTATGACTGCCATGTAATTATTATAGGCGACTGCCACAAGACTGCCAATGACTGCCAGCGACTGCCAAGAAAATGTACATGTAATTCCAATAGTGAGACACCCCTCGGCAAAAATATATAAAAATGCGACTTCAATTTTTTTAGGAAAAGACTTAAATCTTTTTAATGGCTGAATTCTTTCTCTATTTCCGAATAAAATTTTAAATCACAAATCATCTTGAAAATTGCGTAAATTTAGCAATTGATCTAGCAACAATATCGCCAGTTTCTTAATAATTAGGACTAATGTTAGTGTTAAGATCGGAAGCATGAACGTCTTAAAACGCCTTCTAAATAATGCGACGTTTGACAACGCTGTAAGAAAATGGCTGTACTTCACGGTCGAGGGCGCAAATTGAAGGCTCGGTACTACCATCGAAGTAGGCGCTACCGTTGCTCTCTGCTACGTCACGCCGTACTTTGAGCCAATTTTTTTCCTAAGCTAAGATTATTATAACGTAACATCATGACAACGATCAGGAGGGTTGGCCATAGACCAAGGCCGCGGAATTCTATGTAATTTCTTACGGGATAATCAGTACTTATTTCAGTGCTATTAAACTACGATCGATAGGTTTTGTATTGATTGCATGTTTTTTGGAATTTATGTAATATTCAATTATTATATTGGGTATTCATTAATTATTTGACCTTAAAAAATATATGTAAAATGCACAAAAATATACAGTATGTCCCCGGATTGTCTTTACGAGAGGGAAAACTTTTTTTTTTATTATGGGACCCGGCAGCGAATAGGGGTGCTGGGTGGGGTAAAACATCTTTCGGAGGAATAACAATTCTAGTAGAATAGATAATATAGGTTCTTGTAAACTATAAGTACCTCGGAATGTTGCACTTATTCTTGTTTTTTATTAAAGCTTTCCGTAAATAGGGTTGATTCAAAACAAAAATTATTGGATCATGCAGTTTTCTTTTATATTTTAATAATGAACTGTGATTTTGCAAAAATATTAGATTGGTTAGCATTTGGGTTGCTTTGGTTAGCTTTTCTTTGTGGAAGGTGTTAAGCTGTCGTTTTTATATTTTAAGAATTAACTTTGATTTTGCAAAAATATTATTAGATTGGTTAGGATTTGGGTTGCTTTGGTTAGCTTTTCTTTGTGGAGGGTCTTAAGCTGTGGTTTTTATATTTTAATAATTAACTGTGATTTTGTAAAAATATTATTAGATTTATTATTAGATTGGTTAGCATTATAGATACTTACAAAAGTATTTATGCTTACAAAAATGGAAAATGAAATTCAAACATTTCCGCAGGAAATTTTTAATTCTCCTGAATTTGTAAACGCTTCTAAAAGACAAAAATATATTTATTTTTTATATAAATAATTGATTTCAGCTAGGATATATTAAAATACGCAACCAACCGTCCAATCAGATGAAAGAGGTACGTACCCTATCGTTGGGTATTGTGCAATCACGTGATGCTCATGTCGTATGACGGTTAAATCTTTGGTTAGAATTTTTGTTGTTGTTTTTACCTGTTTTTACAGTTTTTACTTTATTTTTCTATTTACATCAGATTTATATTTTGTAATTGCCTATCAGACAATACGTATTTAGAAAAATAATAAGAATTAGGATCGTGTTTTTTTTAAATCCTGGATATTAATTGGAACCCTTGATAACATTACTGCTTTTGATATAAAAAAGTGCATTTTTGATTATTACTTGGGCTAGGATATTAAAATATCGGTTGGATTGTACGACATAAATAGATGTAGGTATGATTATTTATATATATGTATGTATTTATAAAGCTTACTATCTGTTTTGCATTTTCAGTTTTTGATCAGACATTTCATTTTATTTGTGAAATGCCCACAAAAAAGCTTCCCATGATTCAACATCAGTGTGTTTGCTGCATAATGGATCATTCCTGCTGAATTTTTAGATCATTTGAAGACTACATGGAAAAAACCAGATAATATGTTACATTTTCATAGAAATTGATAGCGAGACAATTTTATAGGCAAGTGTTAGCATTATTCGAGGCACCATCAAAGAAAGCAATAATAATATGCTTAGTCCCAGAGATATTACAGCTTAGTTATTTTGCCCTACAGGAGAAAAACCAGAGTAGTTCACTCGTAATTGCATTTTCTCGGCTCCAGTTAAAATGAACAAAGCTGGTTTTTCCTGTGGTCTTCATTTGAAATAACGTAAATAAATGTTTATACATATGTATGTGATGATTAAATTGGTGTTAAGGAAATAAAAATGTTTTTCGATATTAATATATACCTATATATGTATATTTATTTTGAAATAAATTACACTTTTAACAGTTTAATGGAGTTTTTAAAGCCAGTTATAATATTTATATTTTAAAAACTTGAAATCATGTGGATGTAATCACGCATTAAACCACAGACTAACTTATATAAGTCAAAAAGTAGATTTTAGTGTTAACTTTATATAACTTGTAAGTAAAATAATAAATAAAACAAATATGAAAAAACCAACAATTCTAATGTATATATTAAAATACAGTACAATAATAGGTATCTGATACCCTCACTTAACGTAGAATAATATTCTACCCAACTCAATACTATGTCCAACATGAGTTTCAAATATATCGGGCCCTAATCGTTCCTGAAAATAATATTTTTTTACATTGTTATACCATATTCTAAACTATTTAATATTTCAGTCACTTAAAAAGTTAATTTGTATTGAATAATTGTCTACCATTAAAGCAAATTTGGACTAGTATTTTTAATGGGCATATTCTGTGTATGGATATAGGTACTTCCTCCAGATTTTGGGTTCAACCAATTTATTCTTAAAACCTGAAACATCTACGTATAAAAAATAGACAGGTTACTAATTATAATAAAATTTACCCTTAGAATTATACTTCTTTAACAAATAATTTCCATTGGTATACTTTTCCATGACAAGTAATCAACTTCCTAACATTTTTTAATTGATGTAATACTTCCTCATGATGCGAAAAGAAAATCTTTTCTTTAGCACACAAAGGACAAACGATATGTTGGCTTACTTTCAGATTAGTTACTTTTCCATAGATATCCTCATGTCAATTCAAAGACGATGAACATGAAAATGATCATCACATGAAACATCACAAACTAAAAACCTAATAAACAAGTTTATATCGAATATAGAAATAAATTTAGTGTTCTTACCTATTGTCGTCCAAATCCACGTTAATAGATAATTAATTTTTTGGATTTTTATCTTTTATTTTTAAATATATCTTTCGAACTACTGGTTTTAGTAATTACTAAATTAAACGAACTAAAAAGTCAAAAATAATAAACAATTCTCTTGTCAATTTTCTCCAGGCACCGAATATTATCGATAACGCACGATCTACGACGATTACTCCTTTGATCTGATGGACGGTTCAATGACGGTTGGTTGCGTATTTTAATGTATCCTATTTCAGCTATCCTAAAGTCTATTAAATTTTCTCAGAAAATGGATACAGTTTATTTCCGCAGGAAAATTTTTATTTTCCTCAATTCGTGAATGCTTCTAAAAGGCAAAAATATATTTATTTTTTATATAACTGATTTCAGCTATTCTAAAGTCTAATAAATTTCCTTAGAAAATGAAAACAGCTTATTTCCGCAGGAAAATTTTTGTGCTTATATGTTCAGAAAAATATTAAAAATAAAACGCAAAATGTATTTTTTATAGCAAATTTCAGTTATTCTAAAGTGCGAAATTTGGAAATTACGCATTTCGGCAGAAAAATTTGTGTTTCCGTGGTTCACAGTAGCTTTTTAAAGACAAATTTTTTTTTTCTAATAACTGATTTCATCTAAACGAAAGTTGACCCAAATGTTTTTTTATCCTTATTCAAAGGAATGCACATTTTATAACTTAGCGTAACGTCATTTACTGATGATAATTTTATTTGTTGCATTGCACATGCTGTAAACTGCATCGTCAACATGTCAGTCTAAACGGACAAACAACATTTTGTCAACTGCAGTAAAATTTTCGCAATCGCAGCCGTTATAGCCGTTTTACATTTTATTTTGTTTGCGGTTACTTATTTTTTTCAATTAGCTGAATCGGCAAAAATAGCAATAAACCTAGTTCGAAAAGGTCGTTGCATGTAGGTATAATTTATTTAATTTAATCAACAAAATTATTACTAAGTTTTAATCAATTAGTAACGACAAAGTTTATTGAATAAAATATATAACGATGTAATTTTTAACGATTTTAAAGTAACGTTTTTTACCAAGAGACCTTTTTTACGTTAAAATAGTCGTAAATGTATATTTTTTTACTCAGTAGTTTTATGTACGGACGAAAAGTTAATACTCTTCAAACCAGTTAAAAATATGTATAGTTGGCGCCCTCTACAAGTAGGAGTCATATTGACATCAACATCAAATTTATAATATCAAGAAACTCCCAGACACAGATTTTCATCCAAGTATTCACGTTACTTCATAAATTATTTGGAAAAAATCGAAATACTTCTACACCCTGTATCTCCGAAACTAAGCATTTTAGTACATACGAACTTTTTTACTTATTTTTATCTGCAATATGCTGTCGAAGTTTCCGGAATACAGGTCGGATTTGTTGGACCCCGTATACAGGGTGTTTCAAAAATATGTGCCATCTCTCGTGGGGAGATTCTTTACGTAAAAATAAGATTTAATTTTCATATCAACATAGGTGCGATTCTGGTTTGTTTCGTAGCTACAGGGTGTTAAAATCTTAATATTTTTTCGATTTATTATAATTTTCTTCCAAGTACATTTAGCGTTTCGAAGGAAATTTTGAGGGTAAAAGTTACTATAAATGCGACATATTTTAAAGCTAAAAAAGTATCGACATTAGCGATGGGAACTATCGAATGAATTAGACTATCGAATGGTTAATGAATGAATGATTTCAACTATCGAATGGTTTTATTCGAATAAAATCATTCATTCATTTGTATACTAAAGCATATGTGACAACCTCGCCGTGCGACTAAATGGTTATCGTTGAGCCACGACTATCGAATGTTTTGATAAATGAAATTTAGTATTTGTTTGATTTTTGTATGCGTCAGTGCATTATTAGTTCTTCCTAAATTTTATAACTTCGCCGTATAAATACTGTGCTATTTTTGCGTTTATTAAAATAGTTAAAATAAATGAAAAAAAATTTGGGTGGTTTTCCGTAGTCCGATCTTTCAATTATTTAATTTTATATGGTATATGGTCTATTTTTTAATGGGAAATTTTGAGAAGTAGCAATTTTTAAGAGAGATGAGATGAACTTACAATTAATTTTAAAAATACATACATATTTGTATTTTAGATGTTTTAATAATATGAATTAGTTGAACTTAATAATCATATTTAAGTAATGTGGTTAAGTAAATGCGGTTACCGAACTCAAACTATGGGGTGAGAAAATTAAAATGAAAGTTTTACACGTGCCAATTTAAAAAAAAAGTTAACGATGTTTGTATTTTGTTTATGCTAATTCTCTTACATGTAGTTTTTTGCGAAGAAATATTTCATTTATTTTTTAAAGTAAATGCCAGTAAAAGTAAATATAATTTTTAAATAGTAATATAAAGCACCTAATATAAATAATTTTGATTTCTAATTTTTTATTTATATTTTCCTTCCATTACACTGAATGCTTAGAAAATTAATAAATGTTTATATTTCATGATTTTAAAATTTGTTCTTAATATAACAAATTAGTTCTGTAATTATTATTATTTAATAAACCAACGTTGCCACACACAAAAAATTTAGAGACTATATTATTTTTAAATAGGATCTAATATAAATAATTTTGACATCTAATTTTTTGTTTATATTTTGCTACTACATAAAAAAAATATTTATATTAAATGATTTTAAATTTTGTTGGTAATGGGTATAACAAATTATTACTGTTATTATTATTTATTAAACCAGTCTTTGCTTAAAAACATTAAAAATAATTTTCCTACATCCAAAATAACAAGTATTATTGCAGTGTAACAACAGAATATTAATAAAAAAAATGCAGAATATATAGACATACTATCACTAACTAACTAAAGCCAAACAATAATATTCTTTGCTAATATCAACTAATACCAAAATATGGCAACAGCGCCATTCATAATGTATTTTCTGTATAAATACTAGCACCTCAATAAAAAAAATAATGTGTCCTTATCTATATCTGACTCCGCAAAAAATCAAAGATGCCGGCTTCTTTCATAGCATTGCCACCGACCGCTGTCGGGTTCCTCGGAAAGAAACCTACGTCGCCGGGCGACAACTAAAATTCAGTTAATATTTTATTATAATCGATCCTGACGAATAAATGAATTTCATAAATGAATGAATTTTATAAATGAATGTTTTTTGCTGCCGAATTACTAGAATACAATATTTCAAGGCAGATGACGGGTCTATTCGATAATTTTTATTCGAATAGTTTTCAACGAATGTTTTCTTACTAACTATCGAATTATTCGAATGAATTGCAACTATCGAATGTTTCAATAGTATTCATTCGATAGTTCCCACTACTAATCGACATATTCACCAGGGACGTGCGTATGGGTTATCACTGGAATATTTTTCTAAAAAAAGCATGTACGCCACTGATTTTTTTTTCTGTTGTTAGCGAAATAATGTAAGCAGTTTAATGCTAATTAAAAGTGGTCTCTTCATATTTTGTCGATTTCGGCCTCATTGATGAGATAAACGCAATTTTATTAATTTGCCTTGATCCAAGTCTAATATAGCAACCTTTAAAAATTTTTAATATCATTAAATTGCTAAAGTTTTAAGACTCATACATTCCTCATAAATAAGTACTCATAGATTCCTCATAAAAAAATCTGAAATAAGTTCCTATAAACGTGGCTATGGAAACGCATAGTTTTAGAGTTACAGGATGTGAAATATTTTTAAAATTAGGTTTTCTGTAATTATCTTAATATATTTTTTTATTTGAAATTGCTGTATGTTGGACTAATAGTAATAATAACTAATAGTAATAATATCTAATAATAAATTAGGTAAAATATATAATTTATTAAATTTATTTTTATTTTAATTTTATTTTCTTGTGATTAATAAAATTGCGTGTATCTCATCAAGGAGGCCGAATTTGGCAAAATACCATCATTTTTTATTGGCATTAAACGGCCTATACGATTTTGCTATCAAAAGATAAAAAGTCAGTGGCGCACATGATTTTTTTTTGAAAAATATTCTAGTGATAACCCATATGCACGTCCCTGATGAATTTATTGAAACTTTTTTAGCATTAAATATGTAGCACTTATAGTAACTTTTACCCCCAAAATTTCATTCGAATCACTAAAAGTACTTGGAAGAAAATTATAATAAATCGAAAGAATATTAAGATTTTAACACCCTGTAGCTACGAAACAAAGCAGAATCGGACCTATGTTGATTTGAAAAATATATCTTATTTTTACGTGAGAAATCTCCTCACGAGAGATGACACATGTTTTTTGAAACACCCTGTATATGCTCTTTTTTTAAATAAATGTCTGTTTCTTTGAAATTTCTAGCATGGGACTAATTTAATATAATATGAATACAGACAGTTATTGTTTTTTCATATATTGTATATTTTTTACGACTTAATATATGTAGATACATACATGCAGATATTTCAACAATATGCTATTTAGGTCAATTCAAACTCAAAAAGAGACACTGTTATACAGGGTGAGTCTGAAATAAGTGCTTCTTTTTACCGTTTCTCGTATAAGTCCAAAATAACTGACAAAATTTCCATAAAAATTGATTTTTAGCTTAAATTTTGAGAACCACTGGATATTTTCTGCATTTTCTTTCTTGCAAATTTAATCTACTACATATGCTGAATGTTGAAATCAATATTAAATACGAAATATTAATAAAGCTGAAGAAGCACGACAAGCGCTACTTCCACAAGCGAATCTATTTACTAAAAGGAATATAAACAATATTTTCAGTGGTTGGGACAGAAAAATATTGTCGATGAAACTGTTCTACTTATAAATTTATTATATGGGACATTAATGATGTAAATAAATTATTAGAGTAGTTAGGAGTAAATTATTAGAGTAGTAGGACTTATTTTATTTTTATTTTATATTATTACTCAAAATATCAATTGTATTTCATGATTGTTACCTATAAAAGGTAGAGGGAATTATGGCATCTTAATTTTTGTTAATAATTTCTTAAGGGAGTTATGACTCTATTTATGGTTAGCGTAGCCAAGATGATA